ATTACTATCATAATAATAAGACGCTTTGGTATACTTACACTACAATAATATAATATTATACTAGTACAGAATACTAGTCCATCATGGTCTTTATGACTTTACATTTCAGACTTATTCGAAATAATAATTGATCCGCAACCGAAAAAAATTTAACTGTGAAACGAGCATTTTGCTTGTTTTAACTTTTTTTTTAACGACATTCGTTTTGAGATAATCGCTTAACCGGAAAACCAATTAACCCAGATTTCGTTTGCATCCTAATAGTCAATCAACTCACAACTGCCACTTTAACCAAGCACGGTATAGGTATATACTATATACATATACAGTAAATAGGTATTGACATTGCCGGTTTCTAAATCACTTGGTGTACACGTTTTATATTATTTTATTCATAATTAACGCGGTATACTAATCTATTATCTAATAATCTAAGCCATATTTCGGGTCCACATTTAAAATAATATAATATGTTCGGTTGGATATTATTATAAAATAACCTAATTAAAACCAAACTTTTATTACTTCATTAGTTTTATTAGTTTCAGTTTTAATAAGCAGGTATCTATTACATTTCAACAACTTCTATACCAAGATTAATTTTAATACATTTATATTACAAAATATTTTCGTGAATTAAAAAAAAAAAAAAAATAGGACAAGTAAACATTATAATACAAAATAATCGTCGTCCGCAATTATATTGATTTCAAATAGGTACTGCGATGACATTGATTTTGTGTTTTTCATAATTGTTTTACTTTCTCCTATTCGTAAAAGTTCTGTACACCGATTGCCATTAATTTATTATTAACTAGTTAAACATTTCAACTCAAGTAAAAAAAAATAAATTTCTAGTGAACTTAACATCTTAACTACATTGTTTAAACTTTAAGTGACTACTGTAATAATTTAGTTTCTTCTGGTTAATTTGAAAATAAACCACCAAATTTAATTTGAAATGTTTTTGTTTAATCACGCATTAGGTACCCCTTTATTAAATCCCGTCGTTTACACCGCGGTTTTAAGTAATAATAAACTAATACAATATTTCGATGATGTCGTTTCATAATATTATAATGATAAAATTGATAGAATTTAACATTTACTATTTATATACGTTTAAAACTATGTTATTACCGGTTGCACAATTGAAAATACAAACAAGAGTCTATAAATTAGAAAAAAAATCTAATTGTGCATTACGTTAAATTTAATGAACGGCATTTCATAAACGGCATAAAGTATAATAAATAGTAAATATTATAATTATGCTCGTTAAGTAGATATGCTTCTATTGAGTATATATCGTGATTTTTTATAAAACTATCGTTACGCCAGAAAGCTTATAACTTAAAAGGGAAGAAACACTTGAGAGTTTAGTCAAACCTAGTAAAGCGCAACCGAAGAACGCGTATAATATACTAAATTATATTATTCTTACAAAACGTATTATACAACTCGAGTAATTAAAAACGAAAGATCGATTTCGACATTTATTTTACTTGAGCAGTTTCGCCTTAATTATACTTACCGTGTACCTATTATAATAGTAACGATATAATGAAAGTATCGTTGTATTAATCATCTAGAATATTATAATAATACAATACAAATAATGATGATATGCGTTGCGGAAAATCTCTGAACATCGATTCGTTTTAACTGCAAGTTGTTATACGGTTGTTTGTGACAAGGACGCAGCAACCCTAATCCGAAATATCGAAAAAATACCCCCCTCGCTTCACACCCCCGTTACATCAACACCAATACCATCAGTTCGCCCGGCAAATCGTCGTGGTGCGTGTTAGCTCGTGCGTTTCGAGAGGCTTTTCTCGGGCGAAACGTGCGCTGGCTTTCCGGCTACAAGTGAAACGTTTTACTGCGGTCTGCGCTTGCCGCCGTCGTCACATGCATGCCATACGCATACGATATTTAAAGTATAGGAAACACGGTCGGTGATCACTGCAGCACTAACGTCTTTAGAACATGACGCGTATTATTCTGTGTTTATATTATATTATTGTGTATGCGTTATATTATTATAATAATATGTACGTACGAGCCGCCGCCGCCGCCGTTTCTCGCGATGGATTATAATAATATATAGGTAGGTACAATATAAAAAAAAAAAAAACTATCATAACGCACTCGCGGTTCGACTGCAGGGACGTGCTTGAAAAGTGTCTGTGTGGTGTGTATGTGTGTGTTTGTGTGTGTGTGTGTGTGTACGTGCATCTGCCCTAAGACTCCCTGCTGATCATTGTGTGCAGCGCGACTCCGGCAAAGTCAGTTTGACTTATGCGTTTATGTGTGTGTGTGCGTGTGTGTGTGTGTCGACGATCGCAGCAACCGGCTTCACTCCATCAATGCGCCATTTGCACAATATAACATTATATTATAAGGTTCATACAATAACCATAAAAGGGACGTGTGCCCCCTCTCGACGGACCCTACTGTACGTTGCAGCAGTTTATTATTGTTATTATTATTATTATCATATACTCGATGAACATGTTTGCCCCGCGAAAAACCTCGTTCACAAAACTCATTGATATGCCATTATATTATAATATACCACCACACCACACTCTCAAGATGCACACACAGTGAATAATATTATCACTGTTATTTACCGCTTGACTACAATTTTAGCGCGTGTCCCGAATAAAACTTAATGCAAGAATAATAACATATTATTATACGGAATAATTGAGTTCGATTGTTATGTGGATAGTTTAAATTCAAAATTCTCAACTTTGATAAGAAATTATTCAGCCGACCGCGTCAAATACTACCTATTTATCTGTCGAAATAAAATTACTTTTTTTAATAATTTATAGTTACTTAATAATATTATGATCTTATAAATGTAAAATAATTATTGAATTATGTAAGCATGTTGGTTAACTTAATATGAAAACTAATTTTGCTTCACTAATATTAAATTATTAAAATATGCCTAGGTGCTTACTGCTTACCTCCGCAGTCAACGTATTTAAATAATATACAAATACAATATTTTATGATTTATTGTTAACTTACTAATATCATTATGAGTTATGACATAATATTACAACATTGTTCTGAAGTACCTATAAGCTTTCGAATTATTTATATCAAAATATCATATCTCGAATCATAAGTTTTATATACTTCTACATTATATAAATATATTTATTTTTATTGATGTGAAAAGCATCAGCAGCTGCCAGCTATGACATCCATATCTGATATCCATATATGAGATACGAGGTACCTACTCACAAAATTAATTTTTATATACTATTATTTACAATCAACCCAATATATTTTAATATCGAAGTGTATTACTATTGATAATTAATAGACTGTTGGACATTAATATTTCCAATCAATGGTACCTATTACTGAAATGATATTTTAATAATAAACTATTAAAGCAATTTAATATTTTTTTAAGCAATCAATCCTAGTTTCTATAAATAAATATAAGCACCAGACCTACTGTTTACTATTAATTCATTAGTTGTGCAAACAATTAACTGTTCACCAAGGGTTATTTTGTGTTATATTTTTTTTTAAACTTTACCTGTTGACACGTCCGGTCACGCGTTCATTTATGTCAATAAACAAATAGAGAAGTAACTCCGTTTAATTCCATGCATTTTGTTTAGTAGCCCGTAACAATTTTTGGGGAAAATGCTTGTGACTGAATAATGTATGATTGTCAAAAACAAAAGTCGAAACGGCCCATTGTCCGCACCATCGGACACACACAAACAGTACACCAAATAACGATAATAACAATAATCACTAAAATCCCGTGGTCGAATAGTTTTTTAAAGCAATAGTTTATGTGTAGTAATATAATATATTGTTATATTATTGCGTTAATAATTGCCCGCAAAATTTAAAGGATATTTTTGACATTTGAACAACAATGGAGGGGACTCGCATTAAATTCGCTGTCGATCGGAATGCATATCATGAGAAAAATCGTGGCTTTTGTCTCAGCGCGGGACGAGGGTGGTGGCCGCCGAAAGACCGTAATAAATTTGCGGGACGATGATTAATGCGAGTCGTTACAGTATTAAAAACTAGTTTGGGAAAAAGGACTCACGGGAAGAGAGGGCACGTGCACGTCACTGGGCCGGGCACGTGCGCGCCGAGCTTCCTGGACTTATGACAATTACCATAACTGTTATTGCGTTAAGTTATTAATCTACTCGATAGGCTCTCTCGCACCCCTTGGCTCACTTTTTTAATTCGTAAGTCACCAAACACTGTAATATCGCTCTCTCTCTCTCTCTCTCTCTCTCTCTCATTCTTCCTCTCCCTATATCTGCGTGTATGGTAAAACGCGTAACCAACGTAACGCGGCAAACGATACGGTGCGGAACATCGTCTAATCAAACGCCGGAGCGCATATATATATATGTATAGCAATATAATATAACGTGGTCTATAATTTTCGGTGCAGGGAAAACGCAATTCCGCACTTAGAAAACTTTTGCGCTCGCAGAAGGCGATCCGCTACGTCAAAAGGTGTGGTGCGCATTACCCCCCCCCCCCACCCCAATATATGTATACACGCATTGTATATCGTACGTCGTTTCTGCGGGCCTTTCGGACAAACGGACCGCGAAGCTTTTAATATAGTTATGCGTGCATTGTGCCGGCGCGTAACTTTTGGCCCGAGTTTAAAAGTTGCCGGTCCCCGAGGAGTAGCGCTGGTTCCACAGCTGCTTTTTATACGTTCCTTAGCGGGGCACAACAACTGCAGCCTCCGCAGTGGCGACTGTATGTGTGCAGTATACTGTATAATATATCATTATGTTGCGCCAGGCACAAGTTTTGGTGCAACTCGCCTGAACGACGGCAATAACTACTATTATAATGTTCGTTTTCCGAACCGTTAAATATGCTCATTGCCGCGGGGGGGGGAGCTACTTTTAATTATTGTGCCCACTCCATACCATTATCGACCTGGTGTTCAATACTATATCGCGCTGTTGCAGGATCGTCCGAAACAAGGCGGCTGAGAAGGCGAAACATGTGCACAACCAGCAGCAGAGCCTGCACCACCAGCAGAACAGCAACAGCAACGGTAGCACGGGTGTTCCGCCGAGTCAACAACACCATCAGCAGCAACAGCAACAGCAGCAACAGCAACAACAGCAACAGCAACAGCAGCAACAAGGTCCCGGTCCTGTGTCGGTGATCGCCCACGCGCCGGCCCCGCAACAGTCGGCCGGAGGTGGCGGCCACCTCCATGACCGGTACAGCATAAACGGCATACTCGGTATACCGCAACACGACCCCAACGGTAACGTGACCACGGCCAAGCGGAAACGAGATCTGGACCATCACCACCATCACCAGCAACACCAGAATCACCATCACACGGGTAAGCATAATATGGTCTATTATACATTAATTATACGTCCGGGTATTCAAGTGCAGGTTTCCGGTAAAACTTTTATATATATATATATATTTACGATATCGCCGAGGGATGGAAATACCTGAAGGGGATAGTTTGGAAGCTCTGCAAGTTCACGATTTACCTAACCTTACTTAACATAGAGTGTTATAAACATTCTGTTCCTATATATATATATATTGGACATACGGGACACAACACTAACCACACCGGATTACCGGAATCTGCATCAGGACTAATAATATAATGTAAAGTAAACGCATACCGTTTATGGTTAGGTTAGTGTGCGCGCGTGTTTGGGTTTGGAAACTGAGAGGTTGGGGGGGCGGGGGGCGATAGCAATGTGTGTTCTCTCTGAATGAGTTTTTAGTGGATAGAAGTAGTAATATATGTAGTGGTTGGACGGTGGCGGTGGCTGCATTTTAGGAGTGGGAGGTGGATAAAGAGGATAACGATGACGACGGAGACGCGCGACGGCGACGACGAAGGGTATATACCGAAAAGTTCTACAAGCTATATTGTTACCTAGCAACGCTCCATTACACCGCCATAGTTGTCCGGCCCGCGCCGTCCCTCCGGGCGAGGGCGACATCCTTCGAAAGCTTTTACTTCACTCTCCTCCTACACATACCCTTAACCTCGCCCGCCTTCCTCTCGACCACCGTCTTCCTTTTCTGTATGCCCGTATATGTATATAATATATATATACATAAATATGTATGTGTGTGTGTGTGTGTGTTCGTTTTCCGATAAGTTTATACCGTTGCCGTCGCCGCCGCTGCGCTGCTGCAGCCGCCCGGTCGACCGTTACGAACATAATAATATATCCCCCCTCCATTCTTCCACGACTGCTGACGGTGGAAGTAGAAAACTACTTTCCACCCAAGTGCGTTACAGCCACGTCGGAAAAGTCTTTGGCGTTATTACTACCACTACTACCTACTATACTTCTACTACTAATAATAATAACGGTAGTATACTAGTATATAGTAGTAGTAGTAGTAGGTATACCGTACTGTTGCAGCAGTTGGCCCTTCGACTATCTCGTACCATGGTAAGGATGAAAAGGGATAGATGTCTAAATTGCAACGCACAACCTTACCTGCTTAGAACACCGTGTCCTCATGGTTTTTCACGTACTTCTACCGCCGATGCGAGTTTTCTGTTTTTTATAAATATTTTCACCGGTATATTATAATACACGGGTCGTTGTTATAAAGTAAACATTATATTTTTCATAAAAAGGGACAGAAAATTACCGTTCTCCATTTTCTCAATTATTTATCGCATTAATAAAATTGTCCATACTCCTAGAACTGCATAATGTAATATTTACTTTTTATTTGAGTGAGGAAATAATTAAGATCTATACTGTTGTTCAATTAAAATACGTGACCTCTAAAATACAATTAAATAGGTACTTTATCGTTGTATTTTTGTAGTTTCACAATACCTATTTATATTAAAAACGTTGTACACTTGTACAACATTCCAAAGTTCAGACATGTTTAAACAAAAATATTCACAATATTTGACACATGTAAGGTTTCCTAAAATAAATAAAGTGTGATCGTTTTCATAATAATTTAATAAATTATATTATTATTATCATTTATTATAAATTATATTTTTTCTGAGGGAAAATTAAAAAAAAAAAAACAATTATGAAATAATATATTTAAATTCAATAAAAATAAACTAAAAAAATCACGGATGAACGGCACATTAATATTTTTGAATTGTTGTAAAACACTAAATGTTGATGACCTGAATTATCCTTAAATTTGAACAAACATTGATGCAATAAAATGCCGTAAAACTTCAAATACAATTATACATTTATACACATTATATTATATCACTGAAAATCAAATTACACAGCGCAGACACTTTAGAAGAACGTCGGGCGTAGAAGGAAAAGAAAATCGTGCTCAACAATATTGTATTTGTTTCAATCCACTTAGATTTGTGGAACAATTTTGAGGGTATAAAACGTGCGTTGAATATTATTGTCAAATGGCATCTCGAGCGTCTAGAATTATTTTCCCTTAGAAGATACGTGTAGGCAAACAGCAAATTGAATAGTCGAACGAAAAGCCTTTCACCCTGTCTGGGTATCCGTGTAAAGGGTTTTCTCTTTCGTATCGTTCCTTTCCTTTCGACGCATTAGGCTCACTTTGTACAGCGATACGCCATCGATATTGAAAAGGTCCTTTTATACACGTATATTTATATATACACCCGTACACGCTTTCCAAAAACTTTGACAAACTTAAAATCCCTTTTGTCTTCGTCAACCCTTTCACGGTCTGTGTATATCCGAAGTCTTTGTCTATATTGTATTGTTACATAAACAGTGTATTTTATATATATATATCTCGAAAGTAATCCGGACAAAACAAAAAAAAAATGTATATTATTTATAAACAGGCATTTCGAATTAATTAAAATCGATACTACCAGCTATACATGTCCATCCAACTGTCCAAGCAATCTTTAAAAAGTGTGAATTTTCATTTTTCAAAACAAGATAATCTCATGGGAGGATGTTTAATCGCTATTTTTCAGGGAGGAAAATCGTATTTTTGACCACCCGGAACTGGTCAGATAACAATAACATTGTATACTTTACAACCCCCCCTCCTTAAACTAAACTCGTAAGTTAGGAAGGGTCCACAATATGTTTTTCATTTTCATTATGATTATAATTGCAGTTAAACATATAAATAATATTTTGAACATTGAGTAGAGACTATAGAAGGTAACATTATGGTTTGTCTAAGGCCGCCTCTAAGTATAGGTATGTCGCTGCACAGTGCAGCACACGGACAATAATTTCAAGCAAATTAAGTAACGTGATTAACGGCCTTCTTTTTTTTTCGAGGGGCATAGACTTGAAAACATTTCCTGCTTGGTTCTTAAAAAAAAAAAATTATAATAATAATGTGAAGTGCACCTCTTGCGCCGCCCTACCGCGACAAATTTAAAAGCAGTCGATAGAAATCGATCATTATTTCGCGGAAAGCCATTACCGTCGAGCGCAAAGCGAGCAATCAGATTTATGTCGAATTGACAACATTAAGCGCGAGCGGGCCCGTGTGTTTTCGGAAGCTCCGGCGGGAGGGGAACACTCGCGTAATTCAATATATTAGTTTGACATTTAAAGCTTTGAATGCATATTCCCAACGGGAACGGGGTAATAAGCAGCGAAACACAATCTGCTCTTTGACCCCGGGGGAATATTTGTGTGTAGTAGTATAGTCGGTGTTTTTATTTTCCGAAAGGGTCAGGACCCGGATGCGTATATATATGTATAATATTTATGTACGGGTGTGTGCGTTTGTGAGCGTGTGTGGGTATGAGTGTGTGTGTGTTTGTGTGTATGTCGTGTTTTTATGTTTTTTTTTTTTATTTACGCAATCATGAGCCGAACTTTAACGAGACGTTTTTGTATCGGAACCCCGGCCAGGCGACCCGGTCCCAAAACGCGTGGTTTGTTTATATAAAACCTCCATGTTAATAAATTATTATTTTTCGTTAACCCGCAGACGAAAACCGAGACCTGAACGGCCACGCGGACCACCAGCAGCAAATCAAGAGGGAACGATCTCAAGTGCACTACAACGGCGACGCGTCGCTGTATTCAAATGTATCTGTAAGCGCTCGTTTCATTTTCTCAATAATGTCCTTTATCAGCACCTGTCCCCAATATTATCGTCAACAAATATTATGTTTCCCCCGCGAAAACAAGCTAAAACGTCTGTTTTTTCTCATCAGCTTTGGCCCGGAAAGTGGTGTTTGAAAGACGAACACAAATTGTTCTCGGAACTGAACGCCGCGGGCGTCACGTCCGGCGGCGGCACGTCACCGTTCTACGACGCCAATCAGACGGCGTTCTCGGCGACACCGCTGTCGTCCGACCTGTACGAGAGCATGCAGGCCCAACCGCCGCAGCAACAGGCCCAGAACGCGACGCCTGTCTACACGCCGCCCGTGCCCACCACGCTCGGTGAGTGATACTAATAATTATAATTGTAACCAAATGCAGTTGGTGCGCATGATTAGCCGCCGAGTGTAGTGCCAGTATATAATGTACCTACTAATAATTATGTTATATCATGTACATGACGTAGTTTTATATTGTATACAGAATGATTTACCAAGCATGCTCAAGTTCATTTTTTTGTTTGTTAATTTATACAAATTCTGATATTTAAATTTTTAAATATACTTGAAGGCCATATTTTAAACTCTTTGAGATTTTTTTGTACCACTCAAGCAATGTTCTGTGGCGATACAAACTTTTATTTTTCAAATGGGAAACCCCATTTTCTACTGTTAATAATTAGATATTTTTTCTAATAATTTTAATCTAGGTAGGTACCTAATTCAAAATTTGAACGAGTTGTTTCTCAATGATTAAAATATTTATACTCAGGAATTCAAGATAAAAGTCCTTAAAAACAGTTTTACAAAAATATAAAACAGATGTAATACCTACTAGTATTTATTATATTTGGGCCATTTTTACAACTTATTAATGTTTATTGATCAATATTACTAAAATGTTCTATATAGCTACCCTCATATCTTCCAAACCCGTTATCATAGACTTGTCATACTTATAATACACGAAGTCAAATTGTAACTCAAAAACTACTCAATTCTGATTTTGATACATCAACACTTTCAGAAAAACTATCGACTTAATAATTTACGGTTGAAAAGGGAGGTTCTCATTTGAATAGTAGAAGTTTGTGTCTCCACAGAACACTCTTTAAGTAATATAAAAAATCTCAAGAATTAATGCATTATTGAGGAAAAAAGGGATGCTAGGTGAATCAGCCTGTGTCTTATGATAGTAGTAGAATTTTAGAGAGTGTTATATGTACTTACGTAGAGTGTTTTGTTATTGTTTTTTTTCTTTGTTTTGTTTTTCGTCCAGTAGGCGGAGTCACTCCCCTTGCCCCGTTAACGATGCAAGAGATCCAAAAGATGAGTCCTAGTACCGTTTTAGATCATACCCATCTGTCGCCCGTACAGTACCACACAGGTAAGCCTTCCACCGTGGCATGATCACCGACCGCGTTGGTGTTTTCGTTTTTAATGTTTAGAATATAATATAGTTCCGCCGTGTTACGCGTGGGCCGGTCAAAATGGATTTCGCTGATAGTGCCACCACTGTACATAGTACCTACATATTAAATTATATTTTTTATTATGCAGTGTATTAGTCATATACCAGCAACTATATTAACTGCAGTGCTACATGTATTTAGGATCTTGTTACCCGAGCCACCCCCAAAATACACATTTATTTGCCAACCCCTGTACTCCAGAGCTATTCTCGAACATTTTCCTTTGCACTCCCTCGCCTTGTAATATCAGCACCTAATTAAATTATAGTTTTATCGTTGGACAGTAATAATAATTGTTATGAATGAAAATTAAATACAAATATAAGTACCTACCAATTATATAAAATAATATTTCATCTAACTTACTTCCCGGGAAAATTTCTCACCTGAAACAACCGCACCAAAAAAACAAGTCCTAAGTACGCCACTGCAGACTATAACTTTATTACACAATATTATAATGACGGCAAAATCCACTAGGTGCCGTATTGACCGGCCTTTTCGATCGCATGGCATTTTTGTTTTTCGTTTTATTTACGCTTGTTGTGATGGTTTGTCTCGCGTAGATAGCGGTACCGCCCCTGGTGGGTTTAGTAACGGCGGCGGTGCCGGACCTCAGCAGTCCGGCGGCGTCTCCCTGTCGTTGTCAGCGGCTGACGTCACGCCCGCCGGATCGCCCGACCCGTCGAGCTTGACCGTGTTGCAACCGGCCAACAACAACCAGAACAACGGTACGGTGTACGCTGCCTCGGCGCCCACCATGTTACCGGGTTTCACCACACACTACGCCACTGCAGGTAAGTCGCGCGCCAGCCCTCAACATTAATAATATTATTGTAGACTGCACCGATGACCTCCACGGTCGTCGATATACTGCACGTGTATATAATCGTGTCATGGGTGATATCGCCTAAATCGCTGGTAAACCCATCGATTGTTTTTCGCTCCTGGCGGGGTGCATCCAAGTGCCCCCCCCCCCAAGTTCGAAAGATAATAAAATATGCGTTTATAGTATGATGACGTACCTAATAATTTTTTTTTCGTTTTGTTTCAGGCGCCGGCACCGAATACGCTTCGTACACGAGCTCGCCCTACAACCAGTACGCGTCGTCCCCATATGCCGGTTACAGTTACAACCCTACAGGCACCAGCGGTCTTCTCAGTAGGTATTTCGCGTGAGTTTTGGTCTACGCGAGTCCGTCGGTCACGGCCATGCACTATAATATGTATTATTATACTGAATTTGGGGGTTGAAGTACCCCCTAGTCCACTATAGTCCTACAGCGTTCACCAATTATAGTATTTATAGAAAGCCACTTTAGGAAGAAAGTTAAGAAAATTATAGTTTACTTACTTATCCGTCCAAAGGGACCAAAGGGAGTAAAGTCAAAATAAAAAAAAATAAGTTTAATTTAATAAAAACCACATTTAATTCATAATGGATTACATATGTTACTATTATATTATAAGATTTTATACGTGATTTATGCGTTATATTAATAAATCGTTTATTGATAAATTTCTTTATGTGTATTATTCTCTTTCTATTACACTTACCTCGTTATTATGATTTAAATTGTATAGGCCTTTATTCCGTTTAAATTAATAAATGAATAATGCTATGCAGATCTAGTAGATAGTTGGTATTCTTACGACTATTAAAGGATGTTTGGGTATAATTGTTGCACAAGAATGCATCCTGAACACTCTCATTACGCGATGCTTAAAGCACATTTAATTTATTTTAACAATCAATACTTAACTATTTGGATTTTCGGAGAAGCCTATTGGAGTAGCAAATGACTTCATGTTCCAACAATTAAAGTAGCTGGTATTTTTATGTGTGTACTATGTGCAAGTATACATACTACTTTCCAGCTAATAGAACAAAATGTAATAATACAAAATAATTCCATAACGGTTTTGCACACAGAACAAGGGGAATATTTTTCTTTAGTAAGTCTGTAGTCATATAACATGCCGAGAACCCATATTGACCATATAACCACAACGGGTTAATACGGGGAGTGATTTTTAGTTTTCACCATAACAATATACTCTTGTAAGACGGAGACGACCGTTTCACTCATTGAGTAATAACTAATAACTATATAGAGCCCCCTCTTTAACAAACTCACCTATAGCTATTTTATGACCGGGTTTCTGGTCGGTCGCCTGACATTTTGACCACGATTTCGTTTAAAGCACGTATCACATAACAATACAATATTATTGGTGTTATTGCTAAAGCGGCCCATATCATAATGATTTATACCATAACACTGTTGTTTTATTGTATGTTACAGATCACCGTTACTACTACAACAACAGCAACGGCCACAATAACAACGCTCACGAGATCTGCGGCAACGAGACGGGCAGCAGCGCCAGCATGGCAGCCAGATCGCCGGTGGCGGCCACGAGGGCGAACTCGGCGGCCTGCGCCAGTGCCTCGTCGCCGCTGGGCAGCGCGTCATCGCCGTGCCAGGCCAACAACCCGGGCGCAGTGACGTCGCCTTACGTCGGCATAAGTTAGAGGAGACCACACGGAGAGAGAACGCCCGCGCCAAGCCATCATCAAAAATAATTAATACGAGATAATAATATTATAATAACGATATTATATTATTATCGTTATAAATATAACGCATTTATGTACGAATAATAATGTTACGTAGGCGATGTACAAAAACGATTTGTATTAATTAAGAATAGCAGGACTAGGTACAACTTACTTACTACATGGTATGTGTCTGTGTATGTCACGACGATGATGTCCACCCTACAGAGTAGCTACCCATACTCGAACGATATTTATGGAGGGTTCAATGAAAATTTGTTCTTATTTTTTAGTTATTTTTTGAAGCGCGGTGATTGGCGATTGAAAGTGATAAGATGCGTATCATTTATATGTTATTTTACCAGTTCCCCGTTACAGATCCACCTCCCCCCGCCGGGCTGATAATTGATAAGCTTCTTTCAATCGCCAATAGTGCTTGCGTAGACAGATTTTCGTAAAAATCATCAAAATTACCGATTAACGAGTACCGAACATTTTTATTATTTTGTTTTATAAACGTTTTTGGTATATACCTACACTTACATAATATATTATAGTATATGACGTGTACATGAAACTTGAATAATTTAAGTCATAACTCAGAACGCTGTACCTATAATATTATAATGTTTTAATCTAATTGATGAAATATCGAGTCGATAGTCGTGTAGTGCATGTATAGGTAGACACGGTTTTAGAGTATAGAAACTATGATTTATGAACACGAAATAATAATATTGTAATAAATTTGTTTACCAACTCTAAATATATTTTCCCTTTATTAGCTGCTTTTTTTTATCATAGAAAACCAAAGATATATTTATAGTGTTGTTATTTGTACAGAATCCAAATCTTATATGTATATTTCTATACATAAAATATTATACATAGTATTATATTAATCGATCAAATCGCGGTTTGTTTATCATTACTCGTGAGTTTTAATGTTACAATATGTTATATATTTGATGTACATATAATTATAAATGTAACTATATTTAATATAATAATTACACTCTTTCTAAACGTTTTTCGTGACTAGCCAATAGATATTGGATTTATGTACTTTTAATTAGATACCTTCATTTAAATTTGTATATCAGTGGTTCTCTGTTGCTTACTTAATTAATGTTTAAAGACTACCTATATATTACGTACCTCCACTACTTTTATTTTTATTTTTATTTGAACAAGGATAACGAATAAAGCTCATATATTTAATGCTCTCTCGAAACAATTGATCTTTTTTAACGTTGTTTTTAATCAAATTCTAGTCTAATTTTAATTTTATTCGAATATAATTAACAAATTATAATTAACATATATTAATAACAAATTTGTTGTAACCAAAATAATTAGGTTATCATATTTTGTTCATGTGCAACTTATTATCTATAAAATCCAAAACAAATTTTACTCGTCCGTGAGACGAAATATGTGCAATGTCTGTATGAATTTGTATTTATATATTATTATTATTATTATTATTATTATCAATATTATTATTTTTTTTTTTTATTATTTATACATATAAAAAAGTATTATTATGTATCCTATTCGAGTACTTTTTTTAAACATAAATCGAACACACCCTAGTCAATAAGTGATGCTTCAACGCACTAATCAATGCACTTAAGTGATTTTGTACTTACATATTTTTAAATTTTTAAATCTTTAGACATTTTCTATTTATTAAAAATGTTTACGAAACAATGTAAAACATTATCTTTATTATAAATTTATTTGTTATTTTTGTATTATTTTTCTTATTTCAATTTAAATGTAATAACTAATAATTCTAATATAATTCTCATATTAATTTGTAGGCGTTTCATGACTTCAAACAATTGTATTAAGAAATTCATTTATTCTGTGTTAGACACTCGACCAGTTATTATGTTATATACTTACTTACCAAAGAAAACTTATAGAAGATCTTGAAATTCCTTTTAATAAAAATATGATATATTATTATGATAAAACTATAGTGTTGATTAAACTGTATATTATGCATAACTAAGATGTTTGTGGTCCCTTATGTATGCTATATGACCAAAATTGTACTTTATAATAATGAATATAAATTGTAAAAACAAATTATTATACTTATAAGATAATAAAAGAAGTCTGTTCATAAATATCATCGTATTATCTTAACCTTACATTATCTAGCTCCATGTTTTCAGTGAAGTTTTCGGTATTCAAATGTACTAAACTTAGCTATTAATAATTTGTATAAGACGATTTTTAATGACAATTTTACAATTATTTTTTTTTATACTAACATCATCATGCATGCAAGTATATAATAATTAATAGTTAGACTCCTGTATAAAAAGATAACCATATTAAGAATAACCTGAATAAGTACCTATAAACATTTATGATATCAGCCATCATCAGGGCAGACAGCAACTCGATATCAGCATTGTTGGGTAGTGAATAATTGTCGTTAGTCTCGGTGGACCGGTGAATTCGTGGCTTTCCATGACAATCAGGGCCATTTAGTGGGTCAGTCAAACATGAAACAAACAATGTCAAGTGTTCATTTAGGTACTTATTCTGATTTGATTTTCAACGAAATATGAAAATCGTGAGAATGTTGGATGAAAAATAATTATATTATGCATGAATATCCTAATTTGTCAACATTTAAACTTCAAACGCTCATAAAAAATGAAAGTGACTTTCCTGTTAACTTTTTTTTTTGTTATGGGTAGAAAAACTTATGAAGAATCTTGTATTGAAGTTTGAATTCTTAGATATAAAAGTAGGAAATTGGGTAACGCTCTGATGTACATTAAATAAGTGTCTAGAGAAGTCACTAAAATGCGGATGTGTTAATGTTAAATTTTATAAGATCATTTTACACGAAAAATGATTCAGAGCGAAAATCGTCTGTAAGACTATAATATTAATAAGTATATTTCATGATATTTTTGATATTTAGGTATTTAATTTAAACACTGGCATTAATAATAAGTAGGTTAAATTAATTTTTGCCGTAAAAAATTGTATTTGTAAATGTCATGGTGTGTATAAGTTTCAAGTACAACCGAATAATATTTTAAAATTGCAACATAATAACGAAATCATACCTATTTAATTAGTTTAAATATCTAATTTCGTCCAAATGTAATTCCAAACTTAAAATTTCTATAGATGAAAATTGTGTTTACATACTTTTAATTTTTTTGGTAACAGTATGATCTACTTACGTGGAACCTTGATTTACATTTTCAATCTTTAGCTATAAAAATTAAATTCAATACATTTTTAACTAATAAATAATTTGAAAATTTTGACAACATTTTAAGTTCGGATACTCATAAAAAACTACTGTGGATATACAGTCAACTTTTTTTTTAATTTCCACCAACAAAAAATTTGAGATATCTTGCATTAAATATTCATATTTATTATTTTTTGACCAAGCGAAAAAATGTTTATCGGCAATAAAAAAAAAAATTATAAAAATCAAAATTTTCTTATACCTTTAAATAGCTCAAAAATAGTTAAATATTTTGAAAAATTGTGTAGTTTATAGAAAATTCCAATATAAACATTAGTTGAAAAGCTCATGTATTCACGGGGTTTTATTTTAAAAATACACCAAAAACCAAAACTTCACTTTTTTTTCGATGCTTTCTAAAACTACTGGAAATGTTCTATTTTTACCTCACAAAAGTACCAATTTTTCATGGCACCGAGGAACGAATTTATTTCCCACTCTGCTATATTTAACAATAATTTAAAATATGCTAATGCTAGAAGTCCCTAAGCATAATCATTACCGCAAAAACTTTTTTTAAATTAAAAATAAAAACATTTTTTTTTTTTTTTGCAGATTGATTTTTACTACACTCGATTAAGAGTCAGAACTAAGAACATTGCTTTTATAGTTTGTGAGATGTAGTGGTGGGACTAAGTGCAATACTGCAGTGTCAATCACGTTTTTACTTTTTTGATAAAAAAATTAAATGTTCATAGATGGCATACCTACAATAGTACAATAGTTACAACTCTTCAAGTTTGTGGTATCAATGACTGAATAAGTTAGAAATATTTAATTTTATAAATTACCTAAAATTATAAAATCAAAGGTAACATCTAATTTATGAAAAAATAATGTCTTTGATAATTTAAAATTACATAACAATTAATTAAAATTAATTCTGTAAGAATAAATTTTAACTAACTATGTACGTATAATTCATAAATATTTTTACATTCGCCTTGTCTATATAAAAGAAAACGTGTCACAAAAATACTTTATAACTATAGGTCTAGGTATAGTTATAATATAAGTTAATAACAGGTAGCTAGTAATATTATGATAATTATCATAAAATATATGAGATTTGTCATTGACAAAGTTCAACCTATTATAGGTACCTACTGTATTAAATAAACAATAAAATAATTATATACATATTACATAGCTACATACACAAATAATAATAATAATAATAGTTTTTTTTATTATGTGTACATAATTTAAGAAAATATTTATAAAAATGTAAATTATTTTGTAAATTGTATAGGTACATCAACAAGATAATACTTCATCATTACGTTAGGTAGGTATTAGAAAAATAAATATATAAATAACGTTTTACTTAAATACTAATAGTTACGTTTTTGATTATTTACTTTTTCTTTATTCATTTTCTGTAGAAAGATTCATTCGATTTTGTAAATGACTTCAGTATAAAAATCTATCAATCATAATATCGACTGCAATAGGTAGATCATTATATTTTATAAATATTAAATTATCAAACATCAATTAATGTGAACTCGGGTATAGTAGGTAGTATAAAATGTATTATGTATAATACCTTTAATCTTTATGGCTTTATTCGAATTTCGCAATAATACGTTTGATGTATACGCACAAAATATTTTATGCTCGAAGAAAATCAACCGTAATTATTATAAATAAAATTGAAAAAAAAAATGGCTCAAGTTTTTAA